GTGCGAAAGAGGCGAAAATAGATTGCGGGAGCGGAGTTTTACACTCGAAGGAGCATCTTGTCTGTTAGCTCCAGTCGGCCAAAGGCTGGTCACGCTGGAATGCGGTCATCGTTAATCAGTAATAAGGTTACATAAGTTACATTTTAAATACATTATTATTGTACCGTGAGTAAGTATAGAGTAAATGAGGAACAACTTTTGTACAGGTTTACACCATACATCGAGGTGCATTATATGCCTCTGTGATTTTTGGGACAGAAAATAAAGAGAGAAATATATGTTACTCGTATACATAAGCGTATATATCTGACGAGGATGGGATGGGGATTGGGAAAGAAGTACGCGTTAAAACGAAAAACAAAAAAACAATGCAGAACAATCGCTGTGAATGATAGCGAATTATGCACGTTCTCCGCGAGAATCATCATTCGCTATCATTCTACACTATGGAGATCTCCGATATCAATGAGAAACGGATAGCGAATAGAAAATATCATAATATTTATATTATTGTTTTCAATCGCGTGATTCCGATGACAGAAGAGCGAGAGTTAGATCGATTATCCAGATGTGTGGGATACAAAAATCTCCGATACACCTCGATCGACGTGTCGAGCGTTGCACGTAAATGTGGACCCGGTGTTATCTTAACTTAGACTTTTTTCTAGTAAGTTTTAAGTTCCAGATATTCTATGTACAACGGCAATCGATCGCCCGGCGCATGGCTGTTAAGATTATTATTGTTATTTACTCGGGCATTGCGGAAATGTTGTGCTCTAATATAACATAAAAGAATCAACTTGATTATTCTCTCACTTTTGAAGATAATTGTATAGCTGTATAATTCTATTCTTTTTTTTGTCTGTTTTTTTATATGTATGTATATAAGGCATCACAGATTTATCGTATTTTCTTTTATCTGTACACAATTATATATATTCTATAAATATGAAGTTAATAATATTTTTTGACAGAAAATGGAAAAACAAAATACAGAAAAAAAGGAACAGGAAATTATGAAGAAATATCTTTTTATTTTAAACATTTTTTTCTAATGGAAATTTAATATGATTTGACTCCAAGTGTTTGATATGATGATACTAAAATAGGAGAATTTGTGACGAATAATAAATTTCCATTAAGATGAAAAAATTAAAAGGAAAATACGGTAATTCTAGGACATCTTGTATATGCCAAAGCATAAATTATGTTGATTATGTGATTAATTTCTATATAATATTTTATAACCTACAGTAGTAGAGGCCTCAGTCTTTGGAACGAATTACTAAGGAAACAAAAGTCAACATCGTGTCAAGTTATTAACCTTTAATTTCTGTCTCTGAAGTTACCATTGTGCTGATACATTTCGTGATGAATAATGAAGTGCGAAGTTTAGAGATAATGAAGATTCATCAATATATTATGATTAACATTAAAAATTACGAGTATGATTTTAAGAAACAAAATATTTACTTGCGCTTTCGCACTTTTAAATTGTACTAAAGTCAAAAGATCTGTTTTTTATTTTTGCGCTCTCTGAATTGGTGCACACACTGCACCATTGCATCTGTGCAATAAGTTGAAGTGAAACAAATGTCAAAAACAAAAATTTGTTTCAACTTCAACTTATTGTATCGTGTGCACCAGTTCAGAGATTACAGGAATAAAGAACAGATCTCATAATGCAAAATTAGATTTAGGGCAAGAACAAAAAAAATGTGAAAAAGAAATACATTTAATAAGATAGGCGCAAGATAAAGGAACTCGCAGGATGATAGACGATGTAGTTAATGGTGAGACTACGACAAGTAGACTGGGACAGGGACAACCAATTAACTACGTAATCGTAAGATGTAAGAATGGATGGGAGTATAGCGAGTGAAAAAATGAGGGGAGAGAGAGAGAGAGAGAGAGAGAGACGATCGGTTTTATAAGAAAAAAAAGAATAAAAAAAATAATTATGCGGTAGTATCGAGAGGACCTGGCGCCTCCTTGTCGCCAGTTTGGTTATGGCCTTATCCAATTTTTCCAAGACTAAAAGCAAATTTATATTAGGTACAATGAGTATATGTGAACATGTACAGGTCCAAATCTGTAAATTTCCAATCTGCAATTTGTAATTGCGGCTCGCGCGGAAGCGTTTATTAAGCGTTAAATTATAAATATAATTAAGAATTTAAATTATAAATAATTGAAAACACATTCCGCGCGCCCCGCGACACATGTGTAAACATACACATACATACACACATACACACATAACACACTTTTGTCAATTGCGACTTTGGATAGACCATTTAAGTAAGGGAAAAAAAATTTATCTATCACCTTCTATTACCAGATATATTACATCTGTGTATTGTCTGTCTGTTCCGTTTTGTTAAAATGGATTTTTATCATAACGTTTGTTTATTTCGAGCAATCCTCATTACACAAAATAAGAAAAGATAATTTATTAATAAAACCATTTACAAATCAACGATGGTGTATCCGATATGTATTGACAAGTGAACCTAATTTTTGCACTTGTTTTTTTTACTGCGCTTTCGGCGTTATTAATACAAATGTCTTTGTTTTTTTCATTATATTACTTATAAGTTATTTTTAGATAATTAATTTTTCAGGAAATATCTTTTATATATTTATTCGAACTCGCCGATTATCTCAACTACGAGCCTTGAACTCGCTGTATCAATCGAATATATATAGATATAAGTGAAAGTATATATAACTAAAGATACGATATTTTAAGGAAAAATATTTCATAATTGATCTGTAATTTGTTTCCAATTATAATTATACTTTATTGCTTCTAAATTTAGCAATGTATCCTATAAAGTACGTACAACATAGATTTTCTCGCGTAGACTTATTATTTCTAGTTATATTCCTTGAAACTTAGAAATCTAGATCAAACAAATTCCTGTTTACTTTTTGTAAGTCTCTAATTGGTCTTTTATTTTACAGATGCAAGTATCCGTCTGGAAGTACATACGTCGCTAGGATTAAGGCTGAAGTTTCGGATGAAAAATTCCAACAAATTGCAGATCGATAGATATTTTAGTTTCAAATAAAATAAAGCCAATAGATGTTTGAATAGATTGAAAAATTTGAGCGAAAATAATGTTTGTTACCGAATATTCGAAAAATAGCATATCGCTCCTTTTAAAAGTAACACAACTAAAAAATTAAGTAAGTTTCTCAGAAAAGGAGAAAAATTATTTTCCATCTTGACGAAAAATTATTGATTAATCAAATAGTATCGACAAAAGTGATATATTTTTAACATGATCAAATATCACTTATCATTTTCCTTTCACAACTCTTAAAAAATTGATTTTTTTTACTGACTACTCTTTTTGAGTTGTAATTTTTTATGAATGTAAAGTTTAAAAATATTAATCGGATTCTCGAAATTAAAAACTATAATATATATATAGAGTGTATGTCGGGCAATGAGAACATCAACATGGTGCGCAATAAAATATAATTATTAAATAATATTTACATAATATAAAAATGTATAATGATTTGCTGAAGATGGTTTGGAAAAAATCGAAACGTTCAAATAAGATTGTATCGACAATCATTGTACATCTTCATATTATGTAAATATTATTTGATAATTTATATTTTATTACGCACCCATTCCCGCGTTATATCGATGTTCTCATTGCGATACATTCTATTTTTTTATAAAATTTAGTTAATTTATTTTTGATAAATGATGGATACTATTGAATGTGTTCACTTCATTATTACTGCTAATCACTTTAATTTTTTTTCTTTTTTATTAGCTGGTACAGAATATTGAAACTACGTGATTATAATACAAACAATTGTAACGAGGATATGTAATTCTAAAATAATTTTTTACTAATTGAAAATCAAATTACCAAATTAACATTTTCGGCAATTCAAACGACATTATACATATTGGTGTTAATTCATTCATAGTAATAATTTGATAATTACATTTTTTTTTTAAGAGAGCGATATTCTTTTATTTTAGACAGAGTTAGATTTGATAGTTAGGACATGATATACTTGCAAGAGATTGCAATTGGATTTTTAGATCAAAGAATTTTCGAGTGCGATGAAAATTGTATCGCCAGTATTCACAGTGTTTATTTATAGTCCGTTCTTATTTTAAGATCATCTCAAATAAGATGTCTTAAGATGTTAATACAACTCTCTGGCCGGTTTCGTAGTTTGTTCTTATTTTAAGAACTCTTAAGTAATGTTTTAAGATGCTGATTGGCCCTCTGATTGGTTCGTAACATTTTAAGACTGTACTTAATACGATCTATATAAAAATCAACTACGAGACCGACTCCTGATTGACTTACGACATCTTAAGGGCTATGGCGCATAAAAAAACTTAAACAGTAAAATGTGAGCAGTAAACGAATTGACCAATCACAATAAAATTCACAAGGTTATAACGTAAGCTAATCTAACATGTTGATTTCCTCACTACTTACGTTTTACTATCTTAAGTTTTTTGTGTGCCATGGTCCTAAAACTATTTAAGATAATCTCAAATATAATATAAGGAACAACTATAAATACCGATATATATATCATAGTCCATTCTTATTTTAAAGCCGTAATGTCAAGTAATGTCTTAAGATGATAATACGGCTCTCTGGCTATTGGTTTTTATATTGAAGATTTTCTCAAGTAGTTTCAAGAAATTACGAATCAATTAGAGGACCATATTAGCGTCTCAAGATATTACTTAAAACAATCTTGTAATAAGAACAGACTATGAATATTAGTCTGTAATTGAATCTGTGAGATGTAAGATGGTATTTAAGATAGTCTAATATAAGAATCGATTATAAAATACGGGCCTAAATTTCCAAGCAGGTTGAAACGAAACGATTTTGCGCGCGCCAATGTGGCTGTCGGCGATTCTGCGCGGCAACATGGCCGCCGGCGACATAGATTGACAGATCCGCGCCGCCATCTCAAGTCTCGTCCCGGATTGTCCCGACTGCGCCGTCGCGCTCTTCGGTGACTTCAGAGTTCAGTCTGTTCAGTCAGTTCAGTTCCTCTCCGCGCCTCGACACGAGCGTTTTGATTCTGTGAGTTAGTGTGTCGCTGCTTCGGCTTCCTCCTTCCTGCATCAAGTTGCGAGCCATCGTTGCGTCAACAAATTGAGAGTTTTTTAAGTGCTTCGTCTCTCCTGCATCCGCAACCGACGCTACGTCATCATGGCTGAGAGCAAGGGCGCGTTAATCGCGAAAACAGTGCAGAAACACGCGGGCAGAGCGAAAGAGAAGGTAAGCACACGGTGTGTGTATCTCCCTCTCTCTTTTTTTTAACAGATCGCTTTTCTCAAACACTCGCGAGTCTCCTTCGTCCTCGCGAAATTAACACTAGAATTTGCAAATATTATTTGCATGGTCGGAGTTGATCATAACCTCCTTGACGTGTTTCTCGACGACATGTTTCTAGACGCCGCGATATTCCGCTAACTTCGCCAACGTTGGTGGGGTTAATGTTTCGCGTCACCGCCGCGTGACAATTGCATCGTGCCTCGCAATTAAATCTCTTCGACTCTTAAATTAAGCTCCAGACAACATAGCCAGTATGCTTAATTTTACACATTCTACTCACTAAATATTAGCCTACATTTGAATAATTATGCATGTCATAAATTTATAACGTAATTAAACTCGTAAGACTGCAGAGTAAATTTCAATACTTAATGGTTTATATAAAAATAATGTCAACAATTTTTTTTTCCTAAATATTATACACGTTAAATACATTTCGATTTACTTAGTTTTCCTCAGTTTACATCTAATAATTCTCTCTTCTTTTAATAATAATTCTTAACGATTATGTACTTTAATATAGACACTCTTTTGAATTTCGTTAGATATTATTAAATGAAGAAAATATTGTGATTATTCTAAACTGAGGAAGACTAAGTAAGTATCATTTGTATTTAGAAAAAAAAATTGTTGAAATATTAATAATTGCCTGTTGTACATGTATTATATTATAATATTTCAATACTTGTTAACGTTGGCGTACATTGATCATATCGTCTGGAGCTATCTTTAGAGAAAATCGCTATCCAGAAAGTAGAATCGTGATTTTTCTGCCGATATGAAAAATTCGTGCGATTTATGAGGAAGATAAGAAAAGCATACGTCAATGTGTACAATCGCATTTCGTTTGTTTGATTCGTGACATGGAAATGTTTCCGCGAGGTTTCTTCATCGCTTTCTTCGATATATCAATCGGATATTCTGTCATTTGCATAGAATTGCACGCGACGTTGCTGTAATATTGATGAGTGATTTTACAAATTCAAGCTCATCAATATTGTAAAATTAAAAAGGTCGAAGAACAACGAATGATAACGATTAGATTCGTGTCCAAGTGAATTTCGGTTAGTGACGAGAAAATATAAAAAAAAATTTACTAATCTTCTAGCAAATTTCTGCCGGCACATCTCGTAGAAGAAAACGAAACAAATTTTCGGTCAAGTGTACATGATAAACAAATTTTCAACTGTTGTGGTTATTAAAATCCTTGGCGGGATTGTACATGTAACTGCGTGATTACATACGGCGCAGTTTTAATTGTAAATGATATAACAGTCGACTTCAGGTGCGATCCATTTGGCGCTACAAATGCTTCGTTGACTAATCAGAAGAAAACAATTTACCAATCAACTGACCAAAGGAAACATTTGCAGTATTAAGTAGATCACACCCTTTGTTTATTATCGAATTTAGTCACTGAGAAAAATGGTTGAAAATGGACGAATCAAAAAATTCTGATTTTCAATCAAAATTTTAATTAATTTAAAACGACGTTTTTCTCAGAGTTGCATTTTATTAGATTAGTACGTACTGAAAACGATTATACGTGAAATTAGCAAAGTTAAAAGCATATAAATATTTTAGGTCCAGTTCTTCATTTGCTGGTTAACTTGTGATTAGGCTTAACCTGATAATGTAAAAATTGTGTTTTTCTATTTATTTCTATTATGGTTACTTAATAAACTGTAGCTTAGTTAGATTAGTGCATATTGAAATTAGTGATTATACGTAAAATTGAGCATATAAATAGGCTCTAGTTTTTTATTTATTGAATAACTTGTGATTAAACTTAAAATAATAATGTAAAAATTATCTTTTTCTATCTATGATTAATCAATAAACTGAGAAAAATGTCTGGTCGAAAATGAAGAAATCAGAATTCAGATTATATCAATCAGAATTCCGGTTATTTCAACTAGAATTCGACAGTAGATTTAAACAGAAATTTTTGATGTGTACATTTTCAATCAGAATTCCAGTTAATTTAATCAGACATTTTTCTTATAATTTTGTTAACGTGATAATTTTGTAATATAACTTCCAAAGTTACCACTACAAAACCGTTGGTTTAAAGCGAACGTTTTTCAAAAGTTCTCATGATACAATAATATTGTCAATAAAAATCGAGTTTTGCGATATATTTATATATTTAACTCTCTAAACACAGTTAGAAGGTTAAGTATAGTTAGACAAACATTATTTTTACATTCTCGTCAAGTTAAATAAAGTTAAATAAAGTCTACTACATCAAGTTGACCAGATAATGATGACCAAAAAAACCGGATCTTAAATGATTAAATATCTATTAATATTATCATATTTTTAACGGATATATTATATAATGTATATATGTATTATTTCTATTGTCAAGGTTGATTATATTATGCCACTTTATTTAGGTATATCGTAAAAAAATAGCCTTTAACATGTACTAATCGATTGTAAGTTGATCGAATTTATATCATATCATTTCAGGCTCGAGTGTGTATCTTGAATCGAGATGGAAATTACAAAAGTGAACAAAACTAGATATATTGACCAATGAAATTATAAATATTCTAATGATTTTGCTCATTTCTGTAATTTTTAATTACAGAATCTCATTTCAATCTCGATCTCCTGCTTATGTCTCTCGCGATCCTCGGAAACGCGACTTGCGTCGCACTTTTTCATTGGCGCGACGCGGCGCGGCGCCTGGCAATGTCGCGCGAAACTTACATAATCGGTAAACACATTCGCAGTAACTCCGGTAGTGGTATCATTTAAAATGATAATTGCGCGACTCCCACCGGGTTCATTCTGACGTTAGGAAACCGCGCATCCTGACTGCACGTCGTGTCAGTGCCTTATCGACGGCGATCGTATATTTTCGCGGTCGCGCAGTTCGACTACGAATCACGATCCACGTCACATGATTTACAATTTTTTGTTGAGGACTACCGCTGCAAGGTGCCACGTGTATTTACTGAATAATGCTTTGGCGATTGGTCTTTGAAACTTCGTACCCGGGAAATGCCCGACCACATATTAATATCATCTCGACGATTGACGCTTCAATTTAAATGGGAGTTAAAGTTGAGAAAGAAAATGGTTTTACGAATCTTTTTTTTTTTATCTTTAAAGCCCACTTTAGACAAAATCTGTAATTTTAGATTTCATAGTAGAATTCCATTTATTTATATGCCATGCGTTTGATAGGAGGATAAAAGAGATATGCATATATTTTGATACATACGTATAATATGTTTAATATATGTGTGTAATTTTAATTTAAATATTTTTCGTATTACATGGTAAATATATAAATATATTATATTTAAAAAAATAGAATTTTATTTTGGACTGACACAAATTTTGGTTATAGGTTGTCTAATATAAGTTTGATGCGATTATCGATATCCTGTAGTTAAAATAATATTTTCTTTTTCTTTTCGGAGTATCCTCTATAATAATCTCAGCGTTTAAACTACAATGTCCTGCGTGGAAGATATATTAATATAGAAAATGAGAGAGAGAGAGAGAGAGAGAGAGAGAGAGAGAGAGAGAGAGAGAGCGCAAATTGTTTTATAAATTAGAGATAAATGATGACGAATCCTCGATAATTTTCCTTCAATCTCCACGTTATAAAACGACGTTGGTTGCCCTTGGTCCAAAGCTGTGAAGCCGATGACAGCTATTAGATATAGGATAGAATGTTGCGTTATGCCGAGTTTGTGTGACGAGTAGATCGTCCGCGATTAAATATAAAAGCACACGCATTTACGGCGAAATCATCCGACATTCTCACAAGTCACTCAAGATGGAATGCTATTTACATGTTTTACTTTTGATGATTCACTCATGCGCGACAAACAGAGAATCTCTCTTACTTTTCTTTTATAAGTGTTATTTAATAATTGTAGAAATGTCGTTTTTTCCACTTTTCACTTTAAATAATACAACGATCGTTTATAGTGGAAAAAAGTCGAGAATTTCTCTACTTTTTCTCATATTTAATCTGAGCAATCATTTCTGTCACGTATGATTTGTGCGCCAAACATTCTTATATATGTTTAGCGATTCATTGCGATCATTCTGAAACAGCTGTTTCAAAGTTTTTCTTCGTCACGTGTAAATAAATACATATACAGTTTTATATACAGTTTTTATATTTTTATTGTAAAATTTTGTAAATTAATTTATAAAATAATATTCTTATATATAATTCTTTGTTCCTCCACAAAAAAAAATGATATATTGCAATAATACAGCATTAGCCAACAGCAATCTAAATTTTGAAAATAATTTTCAGTTAGCTTAATTTAATGACAATATTAATTAATGAAACAAATAGCATTTTATTAAAACAAGAGCATGGTGTATTTGTTTAATTAATACTGTCATTGAATTAACAAAAATTATTTTCAATAAGACTGCTATTGATACTGTTATTACACATATATATTTTTTTTCCCGTGTTAAAAATATTACTTAGAACGAATTCAATTGGATGTATTAATGCGTAATAGTGTATATTAAAGCTGTCGTACACAAATTGTCGTAAAGATGAATATTTAATAGGAACGAATTAAAATTGTAAAATCTTCAATACATACATTAGATATTTTTTATTCCTCTGCACTATATACACTGCACTAGAACTTTCTTACTTTCATCAAATATCAAATATATCAGCTTGATCAAAAAATTCCCGGAATTACCATCAGGTGATGCTCTGAGTCAATTGATTTGAGTTCTGTTTTTTTGGTTAGGTTGCCACATCTATCATTGATATTCCCACCAAATTTTATCATCATAGCTTGACATTTGTAAAAGTTACGCCATCTTGAGTACATCTACCTCTGCACGTATTTTCGATTTTGGATTTGTGGGCAAACAACTCGTGGATTTTGCACCATGATAACGCACCGTCGCACAGTCCCATCATTATCCGTGAATTTTTG